ATCCTTAGCATAAACTAGACAACCAAAAGAGCGCATATGCGAATAAGACTGCTGTTTGCCCAGAAGGACCTCGAAAGGCGTTTTCCCGGAGAGTACAGAAGAAGGTAACCGGTTAATCAAGTAGGTGGCGGTGAGCACACAATCACCCAAAAATCTGACCGGTAAGCCTGCATGAAACATGAGAGCACGGGCTGTATCTAAGAGATGCCTGTGTTTGCGTTCAGCGACCCCGTTCTGTTGTGGTGTATCCGTACAGGATGTCTGAAGAACCATACCATTCTCTTCGTAGTACGCCCGAAGAGACAGAGTTTGAAACTCTGGTCCATTATCAGCTTGAATTCTACGGACGGGGCGGCCAAACTGGGTGCGTGCTAACTCACAATGCAGCTTGAGATAGCGTTCTACATCAGATTTGTACTTCATTAAATAAACCCAAGTAGAACGCCTATAATCATCGACTATAGTGAGAAAATAACGTGAACCATCAAAAGCCGGCGTACTATATGCGCCCCAAATATCCATATGAAGTAATTCAAAACTGCCACTGGTTTTTATGGTGCTCAAAGGGAACGGAAGTCGAGTCTGCTTAGCCCGTAAACAAGAATCACAGGGCCTATAATCCGGAGAAGAAACAGTACAACCCAAATAATCCTTTAAACCAGAAAGTTTATCTAAAGAAGGGTGGCCGAGGCGTGTATGCCATAAGTCCACCGACTCCACAACTCGAGTTGCCTTGTTCGCTTTGCCCCGCACAGTCACACCATTCCGAGGAAGATAGTAAAGTCCGTCCTTAATCCGGCCCACTCCAATCAGCGTCTTGGAAGGTAAGACCTGAAGCATGCAGAAATCATGCAAAAAGGTTACCACCACGTTGAGATCCTGTGCTAACCGACTAACCGATAACAGGTTGCACTTGAAAGCGGGAACGTTTAAAACCCTGTCAAGCCGAATGGTTTCACCAAACATAACCGACCCAATGCCCATAACCGGGATACTAGAACCATCTGGTATGCGAACTTGGGACTGCCCATGAACTGAATCAACTGTATCTAACCAACTAACATCACGAACAATGTGTTCGTTGCAACCCGAGTCAATCAACCACATGGCAAGTTCAGTATGATTACCAGCCATGTGTGCAGTAGGTGCCGATGAAGACTCTTCCGAATTCGAAGACAAGAACTCCTTTAGCTGTGTGTATTGAGCCGCGGAGAGGCCTGGAATGGGAGAGTCTGCATCAGGTTCCACATGCGCAGCTTTGGGTCGACGGGAAGCAGCGCGATCGTCGCGAGAAGCTCGTTCATTGCTGACCTTAGCTCGTGGGTGTCCTGAAGGGTAACCTATCAGCTTGTAGCATGTGTCACGCGTATGCCCTTGGCAATTGCAGTGAGAACAGCGGGGCTTGTCATTGTCCACTTGGGGTTCTCGCTCGGCAAGAATTTGGAAGGCCGCCGTATCAACTGGAGGTCGACGTGAGCTGGCAATGTTTCGGTGTTGCTCCTCGGCAGCTACCATTTGATAAGCGTCCGCCAATGTCGGTGTGGGTTTGGTACCGAGAATTTGAGAACGGACGACAGAGTACACGTCGTCAAGCCCCATGAGGAACTCGAACAACCGCTCAGTCTCTTGCTTCCCTTGATACTCCCGAATCCAATCGCATGAACAGCCACCACACGTACAGCCGGCACAAGTGCAACGAGGCACTCCCCCTATCGCCTGCATCTCGTCCCATATCGAACGAAGTTTAGTATAGAAAGCCAAGACGGTGAGCTTCTCCTGACGAAAGCCACTCAAACTGCGCCGCAGCTCGTATGCCCGCTGCGCCGAGCCTCGACTAAACCTGCGTTGCAAATCTGCCCAGATGACCCTTGCCGTACCAGCCGTCCGCACACTGTTGCGCACTTCCTTTGTCATGGCCGTTTTCAGCCACCCCTTCACGGTGGCATCACACCTATCTCAGGCATCCTGCCGAACAGCTGAGCCGGCCTTGGTGCGGGGAAGAGAACCATCCACAAAAGCCAATTTATTTTTGGCGATTAGGGTTTCTGTGATGTCATTTACCCATTCACCATAATTAGAATCGTTAAGCAAATCACCGCCAAAGAGTTGTGCGGGATTCTCCGAAGGATGCAAATAGAGGGGAGAGCTGATCGGGATCACATCGTCCAACGTGACGACTGTCTTGCCGCCGCTACTGTCCTCGTCCTTCGTGCCCATGATGAATACGGAAGATCAACCTGTAATGACCTTCAGCTCTGATACCATGTAAAGATTGATAATGCGGAAATAAGAAGAACACGAAGATTTACGTGGTTTCCCCGAAGATCGGGCCTAGTCCACGGAGAGCATAGCTCTCAGTATGAGTTTCACTAGGTTTTCTGGTTGGAGAACAGAAGCTGCCGCTCAACCACTAAGGTTTAGAGTTCGGCCAGGTTTAGCTTAAATACCCTTCCACATGTACACGGGTATTAACCAAAAGTCTCAAAAGGAACATGTAACAAATAATATGTACAAAGAGGTCCAGTCCACGTCATTATATGCAAATCAATTTCATAAGAAACACAATTAGTTTTATTTCAAATAGGCTAGATCGTTAATTATCACAACCACTGCTTGTGATTTTGATAGACTATTGACTATACATCACTGCTATTGCTTGTGATTTAATTATATTAGAATTTTTGGTTGATTTAGAAAAACTGGTAAGAGTTTGTGATTCTGAAATTTTATTGTGTATATGGTGTTGGGTGTTAACTGTGTTTCTTGACGAAAAGGGGAACTATATGCCACATATAGTGGATCTATGGAACTATATGCCAGAATAAGATATTTACCCATATAAATTTTATGCTCTTGTCAAAGGACAAACAATGAATGATTGTCGCTTCAAAGATTAGAGAGAAGCAGATAATAGTAGGTTTACTAGTTTAAATGTTTTTGGTGATTTGTGAAAAATTATGAGTAGTAGTTTTGGGAACTAAACAATACATCTAAGTTATGTAGTAAATGTTACTTAGCATGAAAATTTCTTTCATTTTAAGTTTGAAATAATGTTCGTATGTGGTCTTTTAGAACATGTGTTATATATCGACCGAACCCACCCAATCACCCATTCGAAATTACCCAATTAATCCAGCCATATGACATGTTTGGGTTGGTGTGGGTCCATTGGTTCTTCATTTACCACATAGTAGGTGGATCCATACTCACTCAAGTCCGCTTAACAGCACCCACTACTCACCCCCTACCTTTGTATTGAAAAGTCAATAAAATAATAAAAATGTGAAGCCATGTAAAAAAACATACATATGGTTATATATATATATTTATAAATGGTGCCTTCTACGGTACCCCGGGTGAAATCCGGGGTATCACATACCTTGAGTATGAAAACGCTATTTAGACCTCGAATAAGCAGGATTTTTGTGCATGATACTATACCCTAATCCTTAATGAGTGAACCCTAGGTCCTAATTATCTAAATCATAAACTATAAATCCTAAGATGATGCATTGATTTTTTTGCCTATATTTGGACGAATCATAACCGTCGATTATTGTTTCTAATTAAATTGATCTTGGGGTATAAGATTTAGAGAATTAAGACCTAGATTTTGATCTTTAAGGGTTGGAGTATAGTATCATGTCCGAAAGATCAGTCAATTCAAGTCCTGGATAGCGTTTTCTTACTCAAGGTATGCGGTACCCGGGATTTCACCCTAGATACTGTAGAACTCCCCATAAATATATATATATATATATATATATATATATATATATATATATTTTTATGGGGAGTTCTACAGTACCTATATATATATATATAAAGATAAATAAAAGTCACGTTTTTAAGTTGTTGATATATATAAGCTACGGTTTTCAAGTTATTACTCATTAAGCGGTTCAACCATTAATAACCCAAACTTCATAGGTATTGATATTGTTAGTAAATTGTATGAGATATGAATAATTGAACTTCTCTCGAGAATTTGACTTTCTTCGCATGTGAAGAAAATAGAAAATCACAATCTTAAAATAAATACATCCCTCAGAACATGAAATCAAAAGAATACCGAGAATAAATATTTTCTCATCCTCCGCACCTATTAATAAATTTTGGTAGAATCGCGACTAAAACCATGTGTTGGTTGTCCACATTATGAAGACCCACTCTAGACAAGTCTAATCGCACGTTGTTCATCGTAGAATAGTTTATCCAAACAGACTAAAGAAGAAATAACAATTTTCAAATCGATGAATGGTGCATGAAATAGTGAAACTAAAAGACCAGCTCACAAAGAAAAATAACTAAATTAGAGAATTTCACAATGATCTCCATGAATTACATGACTTATTATTTCAATTATTAACGGCTACCTTCAGTAAAAAAAAAAATTTATCAACCCCTACCGCCATTTTCTGTGATAGCATGTGCTATAAAATTAGCTGCTAATCCTGTAAATCACGAACGTAGGAAATATATTGAAGTCGATCGACATATAATCCATGACCAAATCTCAGCAAGCACAGTAAATGTACTGCACGTTTCTTCTTCCAAATAGTTAGGTGATATCTTCACGAAGTCTCTTCCTGTTATCAGAAGAGCCAGATCATAGCTCATCGGAAGAGCACAAGGGATGTATGCTCTGGCCTCTCAACAGGATGTAGCATTCCTCATGCTTCTGAATTTCAGCTTTCTTGAAGACATAATCTACAATGGCAATGCCTTGAGCGTCGTTCTAGCCTCTAGGATAGCTGAAGATGGGAGGGAAATGCCAGTGATTTCCGATGTGGTCGAGGGAATGCACTGGCAAAGAGAGTGACATCCAAGGGAACATCAGCTGCCGTTGAATACAATGTCTGTGTTGTATATTTCTGAATCCTCCTTTTGTAAACTTGTGGCAGTTCCAAGAAAACTTGTGCCCTTTCCGTGCTTTGTTTCAATAGAAAATATATGATTATTGGTACAGCCAAGACATACCATCAGAATGGTGAAACCAAAGCCTCAACTTTTTTTCATTTCTGTTGGATTGATACATGCAGATGGAGGGGAGCAAAAACCTTAAGAAAGAAATTGATAGATGGACAAAACAAGGAACACACCAAAAATGGTCGAAGAGGTTAGATGAAGGAACCCACTCAGATCATACAGGAGTAACACTATGCAGATGGCAAGATGGAGAAAACCATCGTTTGTACAGAGAAACATTAAAATCAAAAGCTACAGAAATCCAAAAAGAGATAATGGAAATCTAAGAAAGAAAAACTTATTGAAGGTGTTGAAGTTGGCTCTTTTTACTATTGCCTCCTATGTCTCCAAGCCGAGATGGAGTACAGAGGTCTGTCGTGCCAGCAAATGAGCAAGCATCCTTTCTTGTCTTTGATCTTATACCCTCCATAGTTATAACTCTGCAGTAATCTGTTTGCTTGCCACATCCCATCATAACTCAGAGGAACTCTCCCAAACCCGGCTAACTCAAGCCGCAGGATCCATTTCTCCAACTTCTCATGTCTTTCCCTTCGCTCGTTCCCTTCACAAGCAATTATGTTCTTGATTTCCTTACCGAATAACATCTTCTCGACCTTTTGTCTCTCTAATGAAGCTCTGGGATCAGTAGATGACTCCAAACAATCAAAGAGAGCAGCATAGAAGTTCATAGCTTCAGACACCCTTTCTGTTAATGAATAGCCATTATGGTCGGACTCCTGCTCGGTCACCACCATGATCTTGGGTGAAAGAGCCCAAAATGCACCCAAGAAGGTTCCCATGTTTGGGGATGGAGCCAGTGATAGTGGGGATAGTGCTGAATCGGGACTCGAACAATGATAATGAACCACATCTTTCTCAAGCCACTCCCCTAAAGTCTTCTGGTGTTGGTTCATTTGCATGAACTTTTGAATGTGGTTATTATGACTAGCACTCTTAGAAGCCGGTGCTGAAGGAGAAACTCTTCCAACCACCTCAGCCTCATCAGTTGCCAAGAGAGAATGCAACTGAAGAACAGAACTGACTGCAAGAGCTTCTCCCGTCTTCACACGCAAGCGTTCAAGATCGAGATTCTCAAGCTTGCTCACTATGGAGTTGAACTGAAATGGGATGTCTAGCTTTTCAGCTTCTTCGACTAATCGAGCTCCCATCTGGTCCAACACCTCTTTCTGCTCATGAATACCTGTGATTCTCAAATGAGGTGGACCTTCAGGCCGTGCGCTTAATGTCCGGAGTAGCTCAATCCACTGAGCAGGCTCAAATGAGTGCAAATCTATAATATGTATCATTTTCTCACCTTCCATCGCCTCCACAATAGCCTGGTTTGTTATGACATATGAGAGCTTCAAAAAGGGGCAAAGCTCGAAGAAGAGCTTCTGGACAATAATTTCTTCAGAGGGTGAACGGGTTTTCGTGGAATTGAGAGCTTTGTACAAACCAGGCCAGACTTTGAGCATCCGGTCAGCAAGCGCCTCGGTGAAGTAAGCAGCAATCCTTTGCATAGTATCACCATCAGGAGAGGCAAGGTGGGAGATATGGCCAAGGCCAACATTTGCATTCTCGACACTCCCTGCAGCCACATGGTTTGCACAAGCATGAAGGAGCTGAATGAGACACAACCCCCTCTCTTCCGGTTGTAGGTCTCTCAACCATGGGAATGGGGATCCAAGTCCTGGAGATAGTGACATCCAGGGAAATAACGGAAGGGGAGATGAAGTGACAGAGGATCTGTCTTCTTGAACGTTTCCTGCCATCAACAATTGATATTGAGAGCCAAACTCATCACCCTGAAACCGCCCCGATTCGAGGCATTGGTATAATCAGCAATCCGTCCAAATATGAGAACAAAGTACGGCTAATAAAGATAAAAACAAATGCAAGAGATTGGCAGAAGAAATCAATAATTCCAAGGCGGGAGATCAATCCAACTAGTTTTTGTTGTCCCTTTCGATGATGCATTCTTAGCAGTCATTGACAAGAACAATTTGATGCGGAGATTCATAGCCCTTATGGCGATTTGATTAGAGAGGAAAATTACTTAGTTGCTGATTGCTCACTTTGTAGTCATCGCAAAACAAGACATAAACGGTAAAAACAAACACTTGGGCAGACCCGTGCCAATAGACACCAAATGCTAATCAGGCAGCATTTTCTCATCAGCGTTTTATCTTTCTTTTAACCAGAAAAGTACATCTCCAGCGTTTTCTAACATGTCATGATCCAAAGTTGTCTAGAGATTATAGCTGGTGATGCTTTTCTTTCGATCAACACATGTCCAATAAGGCAAATACCGAAGTTTACAAGCGTCTCCCTAGGTTTTCAGTGAACACAAAACTTGTTCGAAGACCACTTACAGTGGATTGCAGATGCGAGAAAACGATGAAGCTAACATAAACAAAACATTATTCTTCGGCAAGAACTGCAAATCAAGCGAAGACGGTGTGGAAGAATTGAGATACTTGAAGTTGTGAAAGAGAGAATTACCAGGAAGTTCACTGGTTCTCTCCTGCCAGTGGCAGGCAGCTTCAAATCAGCACTGGCTTCAGTCAAATCCCAACTGGGTTTTAGATTTCGTCAAAAACCCAGAGAAAGCTCCGTCGCAAAAGCTTCAATCTTGATGTGCTAGGTCAGGCATGATATGTCTGACAGAGGAGAGGGAGAGGAAGAGGCAGGGGAGTGAGATGGCTTTGGGTTTTATTGGGTTTTGCTACAGAATGGGCAGTGATGGTCTAAAAAAAGGTTACATCTTGAGGAGACCCATTCTATTCCCTTTTTTCTCTTTCCTCCATGGCTGCTTTGGCCATAACACAAGAGGTTGTTCTTGTCACCATCTGGCTTATGTTTGTCTTGTATAGGGTCGAGAGGAATATGGAATTTCTTGAAGTCCATAGAAGCCCTAGATTTCCGCTCACAATCTCCAAATAAGCATTCAAAAGAGAGGAGGGAGTGGGAGGAGAAAGAGGGCAGTGGGGGGGAAAAGAGAGAAAGAAAGAAAGGGGTTTTGTTTTGTCTGTTTCTCTCCCATTTTTCCACCTCTTCCCCAAGAAAAAGTTGAGCTGATTTTGGCAGGTAGCCAAGAGGATGGGAATAAGAGCTGGCCAAACATGCGTCAATCCAAACATGCCATACCAAAGCAAAACAACACCTTCTCTTGTTGCTTAGTGGGGGGTGGGTGGGTAGGTTTCAACTTTGAACATAGCAAAGGCGAATGCTTACAAAATTTTCTTTTTGTTTTCTACTTTCCTTTTCCCCTAGGTGAACTCCTGCCTCCAATCCAATCCAATCCAATGGACTTTCCACTTGGTTTATCCTCTTCTCACAATAAGGACAAACTCACAAAGCTGCCTGTGGAATATGTTAAAAACTCACACACTACTGTCACATGTGGCAGATGACATGGCGCCAACAAGGTGACAACATGGCAACAGCACATGTGGCATGCATGGAAGACTAGTAGCATAGAGATGCTCCTAGGATTCTCCACCATAATGTAGAGCTTTATAGTGCACTTATGAGTCACATAATGGTGACATTGATAGAGTGCATAATGGGGGGACTTAATGGAGTGTATTGATGTAGTAGAGGGACTTTATGAGGGGCATTGATGCCTTGTATGTGGAGAGGCCTATATAAGGAGCCATCTCCCTCATTTGTACTCATTCCATCATTTTTGAGAGTAATACACACTAGAGAGTTCTCCCAATCCTTTGTCTTGTTCTTGTTCTTTGCTTGCTTGTGAGTTTGAGAGAAAGGCTGCCTAGCGCTCTAACGGAATTGAGAGCTAGGGCCGCACGATCGAGAGTAAGGTCGTGACAAGTGGTATCAGAGCCTGGTTCGGCTTTGTGCTAGCAAAGTTGAACCTAGAGCCAGAAGGAAAGGAAGAACCTCACCAAAGATGACTGGATCAGAAGTCCACGACGATGCGGAGAGGCACCGTGGAAGGGATACCGTGAAGAATCCCAAACCAAAGGGTGACAAGTCAAGCACTCGTGATCCTATGACGTCTCTAGAGAGGCGTGTCTCTAGAATGGAGGTGAAGTTGGCGGAAGACATCAGTGCCATCGAGGATTTGGGAGCAAACTTCACCCAAGTCGAAAGCGATTTTCAAGGTATGAATGCTCGTTTGTCGAGCTTGGAGATTGGTAATGATGGCTTACGAGAAGAGCTTGTGGCCCTCATCAACAACACCATCACCACATCCTTGAACAACGCCATTGAAGTTGTGAAAGAGCAAGTCCAGGCTGAGCTGGTCGGCGTGAAGGAGGAGATTGCAGATCTCAAGAGTGAGGTCACTCTCATGAAGAGAGCCATGGCTAGCGGACCAGCCACGGTGCAATCCGTCCCACGTGCTGATATTCCAAGACCGAAGAGCTTCGGAGGTTCACGGAATGCGAGGGAGTTAGAGAACTTCCTTTGGAGTCTTGAGCAGTACTTCAAGGCGTCCGGCATCCAAGAGGAGGAGGTAAAGATCTGTACCGCTACACTATACTTGGTTGATGTTGCAATGGTGTGGTGGAGGCAACGTGAAGCGGACGTCGAAAGAGGTACTTGTGTGATGGTAACGTGGGAAGATTTCAAGAGAGAAATCAAGAGGCAGTTCTACCCAGAGAACGTGGAGTTTGAAGCCCGTTCGAAGTTGAGAAGACTCACCCAGAGGGGTGGAGTTCGAGAATACGTGAAAGAATTCTCGGAGCTGCTACTAGAGATCCCGTACATCACGGACAAGGAGGCCATGCACGGCTTTCTTGATGGGCTGCAACCATGGGCCAAGATGGAGATGCAACGTCGAGGAGTGCAAGACCTTGCAACTGCCATGGCCACGGCGGAGTCTTTTGTCGAGTACAAACGACAAGAGAGCAGCGGCAAAGAGAAGAGTTCGAAGCCCAACAAGGGTGGAGAACAGCAGAAGCCTTTCAAGGAGGGTTCTCGCACTCAACAACACCAAGGTGGTTCGAGCAAAGGGGGTAAGTACGAGCCAAAACCCATGACTTGTTTCCTTTGCGACGGACCACATCGAGTGCGAGATTGCCCAAGGAAGGCGAGATTAGCAGCCATGGAAGCTCAAGATGAGGAGCCCAAGGCGACGGAGGCCAAGATTGGCTCGATCCGCAAGCTTGGCGCGGCAAAGACCGACGTCAAGGAGAGCAAGCGGGGGAGGTACTATGTTCTGGCGCAATTCATGCAAGGCGAGTCAAAAGCCTTGGTGGATACCGGTGCCACGGACAACTTTCTTCGCGTCGAGGAGGCAAACCGGCTGGGTATTGCCTACGAGAAGGGGCAAGGGAGGCTCAAGACGATCAATTCGGAGTCCATCCCGATCCATGGAGTTGCTCACAACGTACCAATGAAGCTTGGCGAGTGGGAAGGCCTCATCGACTTTTCCGTCGTCACCATGGACGATCACCCAGTCATCCTCGGCATCCACTTCCTCGACAAGGAGGGAGTGCTTTTGAAGCCCAACTCCAACACGATGTGCTTGGAGAAGGAAGGGGAGTTCCATGCTGTTCATCTCTTGAGAGAAGATGGTCCCCATAGTGCTCTATCGGCCATGCAAGTGGTGAAGGGGTTCAAGAAGAATGAACCAACCTTTCTTGTGTCCTTGAAGATGGAGGAAGAAGGAGGCTCAACGGGAATCACAACTCCCATCATCGAAGGTGTCCTCGAAGAGTTCGATGATGTGATGCCATCGGAGTTGCCCAAGAAGCTGCCACCAAGAAGAGAGGTGGACCACAAGATCGAGTTGGAGCCAGGAGCGAAGCCCCCTTCGCGAGCACCATACCGCATGTCGCCACCGGAGTTAGAAGAATTGCGGAGGCAACTCAAGGACTTGGTGGACGCAGGCTACATGCGGCCATCGAAGTCACCTTTTGGAGCACCGGTGCTGTTCCAAAAGAAGAAGGAAGGGTCGTTGCGGATGTGCATCGACTATAGAGCCATCAACAAGTTGACGGTGAAGAACAAGTGGCCGATTCCCAACATTGCCGACTTGTTCGACCAGCTTGGAGATGCAATGTGGTTCACCAAGCTAGATCTTCGCTCGGGCTACTATCAAGTGCGGATAGCAGAGGGCGACGAGCCAAAGACGGCTTGTGTGACGAGGTATGGCTCTTACGAGTTTCTTGTGATGCCATTCGGTCTCACCAACGAACCAGCCACGTTTTGCACTTTGATGAATCAAGTGTTTGAGCCATTCTTGGACCGGTTTGTCGTGGTCTACTTGGATGACATCGTCGTGTATAGCAAAACACTCGATGAGCATGCCGAGCATCTACGCCAAGTCTTCCAAGTCCTTCGCGACAACGAGTTGTATGTCAAGAGGGAAAGTGCACATTTGCCGCCACGGAGGTTCCATTCTTGGGACACGTTATTGGTGGAGGCAAATTGAAGATGAATGGAGCGAAGGTGCAGGCAATCCAAGAATGGGAGCCGCCGACGAAGGTGCCAGAGTTGCGGTCATTCCTCGGCCTTGCCAACTACTATCGAAGGTTTATCAAGGGCTACTCCAACATTGCAGCACCCTTGACGGATCTCTTGAAGAAGAACAAGGCGTGGGATTGGTCGGAAAGGTGCCAGGAAGCATTCGAGGCCTTGAAAGCAGCGGTGATGAAGGAGCCCGTGCTCGTGCTCCCCAACCCGACGTTGGCCTACGAAGTGCAGACCGATGCGTCCGACTTCGCAATTGGAGGAGTGTTGATGCAAGATGGGCATCCCATTGCCTTCGAGAGTCGGAAGCTCAGCGAGACGGAGAGGCGATACACCGTTCAAGAGAAGGAAATGACGGCCGTGGTGCATTGCTTGCGCACATGGAGGCACTACTTGTTGGGGTCAAAGTTCGTTGTGAAGACGGACAACGTGGCAACGAGCTACTTTCTGACGCAGAAGAAGCTCACCCCTAAGCAAGCAAGGTGGCAAGACTTTTTGGCCGAGTTCGACTTCGTCATGGAGTACAATCCAGGCAAGGCGAATTCCGTTGCCGATGCTCTTAGCCGCAAGAGTGCAGCCGCAAGCATCAGCCAGCCCACGTTTCCTTTGAAGGAGCGGATCGTTGAAGGCCTTGGCCATGATCCCTTCGCCAAAACCGTAGCGGAGTACATTGAGCAAGGTAAAACTCGGCGGTTTTGGATGAAGGATGGGCTCATCATGACCAAGGGAGAGCGGGTGTTCGTGCCAAGATGGGCCAACTTGAGGAAAGAGATCATGAAGGAGTGCCATGATTCCAAGTGGGCGGGCCATCCCGGCATCGAGAGAACGCAAGCGCTCATCGAAGAAGCATATTTCTGGCCGCGTATGAGAGACGACGTGGAGATGTATGTGAAGACTTGTCTTGTGTGCCAACAAGACAAGATGGAGCAGAGAAGCCCGGCAGGCTTGCTAGAGCCCTTGCCCACGCCTCAACGACTATGGGAGAGTGTGAGCATGGACTTCATCATCGGACTTCCCAAAGTCGATGGATGCGGTTGCATCATGGTTGTGGTGGACAGATTCTCGAAGTATGGAGTGTTCATTCCTGGGCCAAAAGACTTAACGGCGGAGGATGCGGCACGACTATTCTTCAAGAACGTGGTCAAGTATTGGGGCATTCCTAGCAGCATCGTGAGCGACAGAGATGGGCGCTTCACGGGCAGATTTTGGCGAGAGTTGTTCAAGATCATGGGCTCAAACTTGAACTTCTCGACGGCGTTTCATCCTCAAAGCGACGGACAGACGGAGTGGGTGAATGCCTTGTTGGAAGTGTACTTGCGGCACTACGTGAGTGCAAACCAACGAGATTGGGTGAAGTTGATGGACACGGCGCAGTTTTCCTACAACTTACACCGCAGCGAGTCGACCAACACGAGTCCATTTGAGTTGGCGACGGGGCA